CACCCTGCAGCCACCAACACAGGGGGTGGGTTAGCGATCACCCTGCAGCCACCAACACAGGGGGTGGGTTAGCGATCACCCTGCAGCCACCAACACAGGGGGTGGGTTAGCGATCACCCTGCAGCCACCAACACAGGGGGTGGGTTAGCGGTCATCCTGCAGCCACCAACACAGGGGGTGGGTTAGCGATCACCCTGCAGCTACCAACACAGGAGGTGGGGTTAGCGATCAGCCCTGCAGCCACCAACACAAGGGGGTGGGTTAGCGTCACCCTGCAGCCACCAACACAGGGGGTGGGTTAGCGATTCACCCTGCAGCCACCAACACAGGGGGTGGGTTAGCGATCACCCTGCAGCCACCAACACAGGGGGTGGGTTAGCGATCACCCTGCAGCCACCAACACAGGGGGTGGGTTAGCGCTCACCCTGCAGCCACCAACACAGGGGGTGCGTTAGCGCTCACCCTGCAGCCACCAACACAGGAGGTGGGTTAGCGCTCACCCTGCAGCCACCAACACAGGAGGTGGGTTAGCGCTCACCCTGCAGCCACCAACACAGGGGGTGGGTTAGGCATCACCCTGCAGCCACCAACACAGGGGGTGGGTTAGTGCTCACCCTGCAGCCACCAACACAGGGGGTGGGGTTAGTGCTCACCCTGCAGCCACCAACAAAGGGGGTGGGTTAGTGCTCACCCTGCAGCCACCAACACAGGGGGTGGGTTAGTGCTCACCCTGCAGCCACCAACACAGGGGGTGGGTTAGTGCTCACCCTGCAGCCACCAACACAGGGGGTGGGTTAGTGATCACCCTGCAGCCACCAACACAGGGGGTGGGTTAGTGATCACCCTGCAGCCACCAACACAGGGGGTGGGTTAGTGATCACCTGCAGCCACCAACACAGGGGGTGGGTAGTGCTCACCCTGCAGCCACCAACACAGGGGGTGGGTTAGCTGATCACCTTGCAGCCACAACACAGGGGGTGGGTTAGTGATCACACTGCAGCCACCAACACAGGGGGTGGGTTAGTGCTCATCCTGCAGCCACCAACACAGGGGGTGGGTTAGTGCTCACCCTGCAGCCATCAACACAGGGGGTGGGATAGCGATCACCCTGCAGCCACCAACACAGGGGGTGGGTTAGCGATCACCTTGCAGCCACCAACACAGGGGGTGGGTTAGTGTCACCCTGCAGCCACCAACACAGGTGGGTGGGTTAGTGATCACCCTGCAGCCACCAACACAGGGGGTGGGTTAGTGCTCACCCTGCAGCCACCAACACAGGGGGTGGGTTAGTGCTCACCCTGCAGCCACCAACACAGGGAGTGGGTTAGTGCTCACCTTGCCACCACGCAGGCACCACCACAGGGGGTGGGTTAGTGCTCACCCTGCAGCCACCAACACAGGGGGTGGGTTAGTGCTCACCCTGCAGCCACCAACACAGGGGGTGGGTTAGTGCCTCACCCTGCAGCCACCAACACAGGGGGTGGGTTAGTGTCACCTGCAGCCACCAACACAGGTGGTGGGTTAGTGCTCACCCTGCAGCCACCAACACAGGTGGTGGGTTAGTGCTCACCCTGCCACCACGCAGGCACCAACACGGGGGTGGGTTAGTGCTCACCCTGCAGCCACCAACACAGGGGGTGGGTTAGTGCTCACCCTGCAGCCACCAACACAGGGAGTGGGTTAGTGCTCACCTTGCCACCACGCAGGCACCAACACAGGGGGTGGGTTAGTGCTCACCCTGCCACCACGCAGCACCAACACAGGGGGTGGGTTAGTGCTCACCCTGCAGCCACCAACACAGGGGGTGGGTTAGTGCTCACCCTGCAGCCACCAACACAGGGGGTGGGTTAGTGCTCACCCTGCAGCCACCAACACAGGTGGTGGGTTAGTGCTCACCCTGCAGCCACCAACACAGGTGGTGGGTTAGTGCTCACCCTGCAGCCACCAACACAGGTGGTGGGTTAGTGCTCACCCTGCAGCCACCAACACAGGGGGTGGGTTAGTGCTCACCTCTGCAGCCACCAACACAAGGGGGTGGGTTAGTGCTCACCCGCCACCAACACAGGGGGACTACGACAGGGGGTGGGTTAGTGCTCACCCTGCCACCACGCAGCACCAACACAGGGGGTGGGTTAGTGCTCACCCTGCAACCACCAACACAGGGGTGGGTTAGTGCTCACCTGCAGCCACAACAAAGGGGGTGGGTTAGTGCTCACCCTGCAGCCACCAACACAGGTGGTGGGTTAGTGCCCACCTGCAGCCACCAACACAGGGGGTGGGTTAGTGCTCACCTGCACCACGCGCAACCAACACAGGGGTGGGTTAGTGCTCACCCTGCCACCAAGCACGCACCAACACAGGGGGTGGGTTAGTGCTCACCCTGCAGCCACCAACACAGGGGGTGGGTTAGTGCTCACCCTGCCACCACGCAGGCACCAACACAGGGGGTGGGTTAGTGCTCACCCTGCCACCACGCAGGCACCAACACACGGGGGTGGGTTAGTGCTCACCCTGCCACACGCAGGCACCAACACAGGGGTGGGTTAGTGCTCACCCTGCCACACGCAGGCACCAACACAGGGGGTGGGTTAGTGCTCACCCTGCCACCACGCAGCCACCAACACAGGGGGTGGGTTAGTGCTCACCCTGCAGCCACCAACACAGGTGGTGGGTTAGTGCTCACCCTGCAGCCACCAACACAGGGGGTGGGTTAGTGCTCACCCTGCCACCAAGCAGGCACCAACACAGGGGGTGGGTTAGTGCTCACCCTGCCACCAAGCAGGCACCAACACAGGGGGTGGGTTAGTGCTCACCCTGCCACCACGCAGGCACCAACACAGGGGGTGGGTTAGTGCTCACCCTGCCACCACGCAGGCACCAACACAGGGGGTGGGTTAGTGCTCACCCTGCCACCACGCAGGCACCAACACAGGGGGTGGGTTAGTGCTCACCCTGCCACCACGCAGGCACCAACACAGGGAGTGGGTTAGTGCTCACCCTGCCACCACGCAGCCACCAACACAGGGGGTGGGTTAGTGCTCACCCTGCCACCACAAAACACTTATTTTACACTCAGAAAACAATAAGAAAGTGTTGACTTGGTAATACAGTTGTAGAAGAGCGTCACAGACTGCCACGTAGCCTCATTGATGCAGTTTTTCTACTCTCGAAATCCGGCCATGGACCAAACTTGTCTGGTGCTTCCCTGGTCAACCAGGCTGCTGCTGTTGATGGCTCGCAGCCCCACATATCCACTACAGCCTGGTTGATCTGGCACCTGTTGAAGATACTTATCTAGTTTCCTTTTGAAGACTTCTACACTTGTCCCAGCAGTGAGACATGCGTTGGAATAATAACTAAGACACCTGGATACCTAACTGTTCCACAGGTCTCATCAACTTGCCGGTAACTAAGACACCTGGATACCTAACTGTTCCACATGTGTCATCAACTTGCCGGTACTACATATCATTTATGAGTGAGTGTAAGTAAGACCTATCCAGTCTGGGCCAGTAAGCCTGCTGAAGTGTTACATTTTACTTATTTTCTTACATATTTGTTCCCTTGGTACTGAGGAGACATGTTAAAAGTGTCGCCAGTTTAATTGAAGAGGTGATGTCTAGTAACATTTACCCAAATTTTGTACAACAGGAATAATACAAGTTACTCTGTAATTCTGACAACTCCTTTATATTTTAATACGTATTTTATATTTTATGAAGTGCTAAACCCAAGTCTGACATTCAAGGAGTGGAGGAGCCTTGATCCTCCATCTGTGAAACATTCAACACAAGGAGTGGAGGAGCCTTGATCTTAACGGACCGGTGGGTGCTCAGGCCAGAGAAGGGCCTGACTAGTAAAAATTATACTTTTAGAAAAATTAGCTGGTCTACACTTACACATCTGTCATAGTTACAAAAAGTAATCCACAGTAAAGAATCTAGAGTAAATGTAACTAAGAAGATAGAAGGTGATTCCATATATCAAGATAAGAGATGAGGTGATGCAGAGTGATAACACAAGCCATTGCTGTATAATGATGCAGCAGCAGCAGTAACAGCAGCAGCAGCAGTACCTAGCCAGCACCAACACCAACTGAGAACATCTCTTGTGTCAACATTAACCAAATGTATTAAACTATTACAATGATCTCCGTCAACCACACAACAAGCCCATCGTAAGAAAAGGCACAGATATCTGCAGTCTGTCTACCTGGATGACTGTATCCAGTCAGACAGAAAATATAGCTACGTATTACATTTTAATGTTACCTGTTATGTGATAAAGTTGCAAATTGTTAAGGTGAGGAGGTCCGTTCGATAATTCAACACGGAAAAAACATAATGCGACTGTTACGTCCATTTTCTCGGCATTTTGCTATTTACAAATGATATCGTCAATGGTGTGTCAAGTATTTCAATCCGTCCTCAGAGAAATTAATTCACTTCTTCACATACGGCTGCAACACATGTTTAACTTAGGTTGTTCTATATCAATAAAAAAGATAAATTATCTCATACCACAACAAACTATAAATATAAGATAGAAAAAAAAGACGATATAAAAACAAGTGTTTAGCGTAAAAAGAAAACTGGTAGAGCAATACAGTCATATTACTACTGTTCAATGCGCCTTCAACAGTCCCATGATGTATATGGATAAGAGGTCGAGTTGTAAGGATTTATGACGGTATGCCATTCACAGGGTAAGTAACGATGCCCAACAATGAACAACGCACTGGCCTGGTAATTTTAAGACTAGCTTTCCACGGGTTCGATCCTCACCAATTCTGTAATTTATGGATAAAAACACTTATGTACAGTTCAGAGTATTAAAGGAAACGTTTCGTCACGTGTGACTGAAGAAGCAACTCGTGGCGAAACGATTCCTTTGATAAATGTCTTGTACTGTAAACAAGTGTCTTTATCCAGATCTTATTGCATCATCATACCATTTACTTCTCTGGCTAAAAGTTTACAATACTTAAAATGGAAGCTTACCCGCCACACGAACAAATGTCTTGCTTGTAGCAGGTGTAGGAAGTTGACCAAGCTTCCTCCGTCCATACTCTCAACCTAACTATATTTACCTGAAAAAAAATAAAACAAAAAACTATTAGAAGCTGCTGTGTACTGTTCAACAGATAAAATAAGCCCTTGTAAAATACTAATATGGTTATAATTATAACCTTAATTTTCAAAGGGGTGGACCGGTAAGCCAGCTAAAGGCCTCGGTCAGACGACCAAAAGCTTCAGTTGTTGGTCATATGACTAAGACCCGCGTCAGGAAACACTTATCCTGTTCCCTGACAAACCTTACCTACACTAACCTAACTGCTCAATAATTGATGAGAACAGTGGTTATTGTTCAAATACGACTGACCTTGTTAACTCTGTTCTAAAGTGTATTATGCAAATGCTTAATACAGTGTAGTGGATGTGTTAACACTCATCGTAACAATAATGTATACAACCCCTGCAAAAACCATGTAGGACTCTGGAGAGGACAGATAGGAGAAATAGTAGGGGTAGCACTAGCACCACCAGCCCTGAATAAAATGTGAGGTATGAGGAGGTACGACCCCAGTCGTTGCCCCCACCATCAACAATACAATGCCTCACACACCCACACACACTACAATATTTAACACCTAAACTCAACTCGTACCCTTGAACACCCTCTAAGCTCAACTCACACCTATCAACACCCTCAAAGCTCAACTCATACCCTTAAACACCCTCTAAGATCAATTCACACCCTTAAATACTTTAAAACTCAACTCATACCCTTCAATTCTAACAAACATGAGTTTCACATAGTAAATACCAAGAGGTTTACAGTGAGTACCTGTCGACACAAAACATTTCCACAGTTGAGGTAAGAGAGTGTAGCACAGTGAACCTTCCTGACTGCTGACTAACTGATGAGGGTTTCAGGGCTCACTGTTCCAGCTGCCCGACCCTGAACCAGGCCACCTGCTTGATGGTGTGATCAGTCAGGCTCTTGAGGCTAGCAAGCAGTTCACCATAAACATCACAGCCTTGCAGATCAGGAATTGGAAAGACGCTAAAAAGAGAACATCCCAGAGGGGCAAGGAAGATGAGAGAGAGAAAAAAAGAGAGGGAGGAGAGAGAGAGAGAGAGAGAGAGAGAGAGAGGAGAGAGAGAGAGAGGAGAGAGAGAGAGAGAGAGAGAGAGAGAGAGAGAGAGAGAGAGAAAAAGAGAGAGAGAAAAGAGAGAGAGAGAGAGCGAGAGAGAGAGAGAGAGAAAAAAAAAGAGAGAGAGAAAAGAGAGAGAGAAAAGAGAGAGAAAAGAGAGAGAGAGAGAGAGAGAGAGAGAGAGAAGAGAGAGAGAGAGAGAGAGAGAGACACAGACACTTACACTAAACCAGTTTAACACAGGACCAACCGGAAGGTGAATGACCTTTACCCTCGTACTGTTATCCCAAATAACGATTTTAAGCTATTGTCTACCTGTTGACGTTTACGGGGATCATTGCCTCAGCCGGCCGCTCTCACGCCACAGCCTATCAAACTTTTAAAAATTATTCGTCAGAAAATGCACACTCAGGATGTTACGATACGCCCCGCGCTGCCAGAGACGTAAGCCACCCATTGAGTCCGTTGAAGACACAGCGAATCATCAAGAGGATATAAATCCAGTCTTCCAAGTGGGCCTCAGACAGCAATACTACTGTTGGACTGCGTGCGGCCAGCGATAACAGCCTGGTTCATCAAGCCTTGACCCACCAGGAGGCCTGTTCTGGGATCGGCCGGGGGGCACTGACTTCAGGAAGCATCCTTCAGGAATCGTCCAGGCAATGAAGACAAGTTTCAGTTGCTCCGCTATGTAAGAGCATACCGAATTTGTAGTCCTGAGTTTCTTGACGAGGAATGTACATACATTCACCAAACATTCACTGAGCTACATTTTCCTTCCTTTTTCATCAACGACTGCAAGAAAAGAGCTCTTCAGATCATTAATTCTCCACGCACCAACACCACTCCCAACAAAGTTATAATTCTTCCCAACAGCCAGGTTGCACTGAACGTTTCAAAAGTACTTTCACAAGCTAACACCAGAGTCGCCATCGCTTCTAGCACTTCAATAAAGGATCTAACCAGAACAAAATCCAAGCACCACGAACCAGTCAACGCAGGAGTTTACACTATACCCTGTGGAGGCTGTGACAAGATTTACGTAGGTGAAACAGCAAGAAACCTCGACACCCGCCTCAATGAACACATTTACGCATGTAGGAACGATAACTTGAACAACGCCTGTGTACAACATCGAAATTCTACCAATCATCTCATGAAATTCAGAGACGCCCAATTAGTGATTAAAGAAACTAATTTCCGCAGACGCAAGTGCCTCGAATCAGCACTGATCGCTGTTTCGAATACAATTAAAGAAAACAACGGCAGCTTCACCATCTCTGAAGTCTTAGCAAGAATCCTCCTGAAAACAGTAAACCCTGCCATCACATAGTCTCTCCTGTTATACTACACAAGCACATTACAGAGAGTGAACACTGAAACAGGCTGCCTCTTTCCAGTCTATATTTGTCCAACCTATTTTTATGTTACCCAAGTAATAGCTTTTATATCCTTTTACTCATGTACGAATTAATTGCTCTACCATATTGTATTACTACTACTACTCTTGTCACTACTACTACTACTACTACTACTACTACTACCACTAGTGAACATCTAAATGGTACCTCACTAGTACTGCACCTCACTCTGAGCCTTTATATACCCTCTGTGTCCATGTATTGTTTGTAAAGGCTTGATAAAGCTCCTGGAGAGCGAAACGTTGCCACAATAAAATGTCACATTAGTTGCACTTGTGTCCTTTTACTTTACATATTGTCGGTAATTCTACCAACTTTATTACAATAGTAGAAGTAACGACTAACGGAGCGCAGGACAAACTCTAACTCTTTTAACGTAGGGAAAGTTCCATGAGCAACACTCGACAGTGATGATTCAGGGATCACTGCAATGTTGCTCTTGCAGCAGACAGCAAAATAATTGGATAACCGGAACTACTAAGACATATATAGACACACGCCTTACAGTTTTTATACAGATATAAACATCTCTGTGTATATAGATACACACCTCATAGTGTATATAGATACACACCTCATAGTATATATAGATACACACCTCATAGTGTATATAGATACACACCTCATAGTGTTTATACAGAGATACACACCTCTCAGTATACATGCAGAGATACACACCTCTCAGTATACATACAGACATACACACCTCTCAGTATACATACAGACATACACACCTCTCAGTGCATTTAAGCTGTAGCATAAAGTAATAAGAGTAAGCAGCTATATATAAACAACTTAGAAAAAGCGATAATCTCTGAAATATCAGCAGCAACCACAAGGAAGAAAGAACTACGTAAATAGGAGGTTGAACAAGTGTGATGTGAGAGTGGGTGGGAAAGGCGATCATCTCCTGGGGCACCCAAGCCAAGAGGGAGCTGCCACATTATGCTGAGAGATACCATCAAGTTTCTTCCATATTCTAATTTTTCAATAACCTTCCCGCCTCCCCCACAACATTCACTCACCCTATTTGAGGACCTTTCCCTATGTTCATCAATAATGATAACCATAATTTTTAAAGGGATGGAGGAGTAAGCCAGTGGAAGGCTGCGGGTCATCATATAACTTAGACCATACCAAGGGTGGGGTTTGAACCCGCGGTCAGTCTCAAAACTCCAGACCGTCGCGTTAGCCACTTGACCAGCTAATGCGACAGTCTGGAGTTTTGACACTCTCTGACCGCGGGTTCAAACCCCACCCGTGGTATGGTTTGTTTGAAATCGTGTCATTACGATTTCGTGAGTCATAACTTAGACCTGCGTTTCGAAACACTCGTCCTCTTTCCTGACAAACATTATCTTACTTTACCTAACTTAACCACCTCTCCCCTCCAAAACTCCATCTCTCTCTCTCATTAATGGCTGCCGACACCATTATACCTAGCTGCCCATTCCATGATCAGTGACTACCTACTCCATTATCTCTAAAAGCTCCACACCATTAAGCAGAGCTTTCATCCCCCAAACCCAACCCACACCGATACTCCACTGTTTCCCGCACCACAGACCCACACATCCATAACTTCTCCCATAGATAATTTTAAAAGCTTGTCCAAATTTATGTAAAATATTCTGCCCGTGACCCTGTTTGTGAGTATATAGTAAAAGCTGATATGAAAATGATACCAGTTTATATAATATATACTACTGCATATAAGATACTAGGTTATATATATATATATATATTATATATATTATATTATTATATATATATTTTATATAAAATATATATATTATATATATAATTACACACACACACACGCCAGGAGCTATGAATCGACCCCTGCAACCACAATTAGGTTCGTACACACACAAGGTTATGTACAGTATACCAGGTTCGTACACAAAGGTTACATCAGGTTTACAACAATGGGTAACTTACAGCAATTAGCGGTACAAGAAGTCCTTCACAATTACATGAATAATGACACTTTTTACCAGAACAAAGGTTATAAAATAAGAACTACTCCACAACACCAGTGTGTGTGTGTGTGTGTGTGTGTGTGTTTTGTGGTGTGTGTGTGTGTGTGTGTGTGTGTGTGTGTGTGTGTGTGTGTGTGTGTATGTGTGTGTGTGTGTGTGTGTGTGTGTGTGTGTGTCGTGTGGGGTTTGGTAAGGAGATAAGAGGGTTGAAGGTAGACACACTTGTTGGATGGTAACGATATATATATTGTCAGACTGTGGTAATGGGAGACGGAGCCCAGCCTGCCGTGTTCTGCCTCCTATGCCTATGCGTCGACTGAGAGGGAGGCAGCTTGTCTCACTGACTCATGCTGTATCCCGTGACGTCATACAGTCACTCGGCCTAGGGATCTTCTAAAATAAAGCACATGGGATGGTACTATGATACACTTTACAACACATATAAGGGGATCAGCAACTATGCTGACAGCTCGGTCATGTTACGTATGTTGTCCCGACATACACTACTATGGTATAGGCTGAACAGGCA